CATTATCATCTGACTGATCATTGGATGTTTCCTCCTCATCATCACTTAATGTAGCTACTGACATAGCCTTTTTCCTCTTGAGATACGTTGCAAATTCAGCCTGTATGTGTCCATACCCTTCACACTCTCTACACTGCACTGACCGGTTGAGGGACTTCCCTGTATCTGTGGAATTGTTTCTGTTCTGTCTTGTTCGACCAGTCTGAGATTGATTGTTCTGTGAAAAAGGAGTTGTTTCGGCTTTCTGATATGAGGAGTTATTGCCTTTGTATTGTGTCCTGGTGGGCTGACCTTGACTCTTTCTGTTGAAACCTTTTAATATTTTCTTGAAATTCTTGGTTAGAAGTGTCAAGGTTTCATCATCTATGTCGTTTGTGTTAGATTCTCGATCAGCCTCAGCTACAAAAGCCACAGACTTTCCTTTTATGTTGCTTGCAAGATCATCATCAGCAAGCACTTCTAGTTCATATGTGTGTAAGCTTCCCATAAGTTCTCCGACAGTCTTCTTTTCCCAACCTGTGTGTTCCTGAATAGCAGTTACTTTCATCCCGAAGCGTTTAGGCAAAGATCGAAGGATCTTTTTGACTACTCTCTCATCAGTGAATGGTTCACCAAGAATTGAGGCTCTGTTCATCAGATTCTGAACCCGACTGTGAAAGGTCGAAATAGTTTCCTCTTCATTCATTCTAAGGGCTTCAAATTCTGACAGAATCATTTGTAACTTTGACTGCTTGACATCACTAGTTCCCTCAAATCTGGTTTCAAGAATTTCCCATACACGTTTAGCTTCTTTTACCCCGGTGACAAGAGTAAAAACGGATTCATGCAGAGATCCTACAATCGAGTTCAAAGCCTTGTTGTTTAGATCAGAGGCATTCATTTCATCGTCTGTCCAAGTCTCCATGGGCTTATCTCCAGTGGTTCCATCCTCATTCTGAACAGTTGGACGGCTCCACCCAGTTAAGACAGTACGATAAACTCTGGTACCTTGTGCTTGGAGATATATCTCCATGCGAGCCTTCCAGAATGAGTAGTTGTGACCATCTAGTTCTGGTGGTTTCATACTTGCATCCATCCTGAACAAAAACAACCAGCCAACGAACACACACAGAGGCACTTCCAAAAGACAGAGAACAATGCAAAACTAAAACAACCCGTACGGATCAAGTCACTATGTAGACTTAAAAGCTCTGATACCACATGTAATTTTGCATTTTCTCTTTTTAAACAGATTAACTGGATTAATCAACTGACGAAATGGACTGACTGATTCAGCGATGAAGTCAGTCAGTAATAACAAATCATAGAGAAGCTTAAAGAAAAGATAACAGCACAAAGCCAACGACACAGAATGTTTACCCAGTTCGATACAGTGTGTATCTACGTCTGGGGGACGATCACATAGGCGTCCAATCCACTAAATCATAATCCAATGTACAAAGGTAGATATACAATAATCTTACCCAAGTGCCCCACACACGGTACATACCCAGTCTACACAGGTTTAGTGGATTGTTGAAGATAGAGAGCCATGCATACAGAAGTCCAATAAAATCCCTTCACTTGGAGAGCCCACTCTGATGCAGTCCACTTCAATGACGCTCTTTACAGTTGTTCCCACAACAGTGTGATCACAGTGTCCTTTCGTTTAAGCAGCAGTGATTCTTCTCAAGTTCGTCATCTTAATCACCATGAACATGTTGTATTGAGAAGAGGGGGGGTAATCAAAGATCTGATATCATAAAACTGATGTGGAGTGTTTCTTCTCTCTAAAGGCGTAACCCTAATTCTCTTAGAATGAGGGTACTTATAGATCCGTCGATAGAACACTCCTTCCATAGTTGTCTTTGATGTAGATGTTAGGACAATATTTGAAGAATGTAATCTTAAAGATTCGGTCGATACCTTTTCCATAGCAGATACGCTGATCTTCTTTCCAAATCTGTCTTCTGTAAAACCGCGTACAGCTTTTAAGAAATCAGCTTCCTAAAACAGATCTTCCGTGTCAGTCCTTCTGTTGTTGTCTGATCGATCAGTCCTCTGTAGAACAAAACTGACACTAAGCTAATCCTATCTTAGTATGCCATAATAATATTGCCAATTATAAGATGGGGTTTTTTTCGAGCAAATAAAATACTAACAAACCCGAGCTCGAAAAACAACTAGTGTACCACACCAAAAATTAATAGAGAAGCCAAAACAACCAAATACCAAACCCCAATCAACCCCCACACCGAACACGGCAGAACTGGAAAAAGAATTCCCAACAACCTGCAGAAATAGGAACTAAAAAAAACCCAGCCACCATTCACATTCCCACAAAAACAGAAATACCATTAATAAAGAAGTCAAAACAACCAAATTCGTACCCCCAATCAACCCCCCCCCCCCCCCCGCCCAACCCCCAAACACGACAGAATTAGGAAAAAGAATTTCCAAAAACCGACAGAAATAAAAACTATAAAAAAAAAAAAAAAAAACAGCCACCATTCCCATCCCCACAAAAACAAAATACCATTAATAGAGAAGCCAAAACACCCAAATTCCAAACACCAATCAACTCCCAACACCCCGGCAACCCCCAACCCCGAACACGGCAGACCACCTGCGAAAAAAATACAAAAACCGACAGAAATGCGAACAAAATAACACTCCAGTCACCATTCCCATTCCTACTGAATGCATAATGATAAAAAAAAAACATCAAACAATCAAACGGGCAAAGACAAGCAAGAAAACCCCCAAAACTCGAAAACCCTAGCTCCAACCTCACGACTAAATCCGGAAAAACCCCCCCTTCACCACCAAACAAAACACACCAAACCCCCCACAAAACAACACAAAAATGCACGAAACACAAAAAAAAACCCCCAACAAAAAAAAAAAAAAAAAAAAAAAAAAAAAAAAAAAAAACCACAAAAAACGACAGGAATACGTACCTCGGCCGACACCTCGGACCGGTGGTCCCCGCCTCTTCGATGTGCTGAGGTCTCCACCTTCTACCATTGCTGCATGGAAGTGAAAAGCATGAGATGAATCGAGAACACGACGTGAAGCCTGGATACATGACACACGCACGGAACGAGAGCGAGATGGACTGCCGAAGCTAATAGGTCTTGCGCGTCAAAGAAGGAAAGATGGACTAATTTGACTAGGTCTAAAACTAAAACAAAATACCACAAATACCCCCCCCCCCCCCCCCCCCCCCCAACACTTAAAAAAAAACAAGCCTTAACCTAAAAACAATCTCCCCACGCAAAAAATTCAAGACTAATCTGGACCATTCAATCTCACAATCCAACGGCCCCATATTGTCCACAAGTTTGTATTTTAAGATGTGTTTTTACCTGAATGTATTTCTATATATATATATATATATATATATATATATATATATATATATATATATATATATATATATATATATATATATATATATATATATATATATATATATATATATATATATATATATATATATATATATATATATATATATATAAGTGAAGAAAATCTATGTTTAGGAGGTTCCCGTTAGGACTATGTCCTTTCGGATGAAAAGAGTAAGAAAGAAGTTGTGAGAAAAAAGAAAGAAACAGTCACAGAGGACCGAAAGAATATTTTAGAAGTAACTTGGTTGATGTTCCCGAGTTGCTAGGTTCGATACTACCTGCTGGGCTTGGAATCCTAGTTAGGGGGTGTGCACACTGAAAGTACGATACCTGATTCCAGAGAGATTAAGAACCACGAGTACCAGTTCTGTGGGCGAGATGAGTATTAGGCCGGCTAGATTTGCCGAGCCCGGATAGGTCCATTCACAATTTCTGAAGTTCCTACCTCCCCCACGAGTTCAGAAAGAAAGAAAGAAAGAAAGAAAGAAGAGAAAAGTAAGTCAAGAGACTCAACAGAGATTCTCCACAGAAAAGTATTCTTTTTAAAGATCGAGAGTATAAGTATATGCATAGTATCATATCTTTATTTATAGAATTACTTCATGGCATAGCATATGTCTTATCTTGAGTATATGAGAAGTAAAGAATCATTCATTGCTTTAAGTATAGCATGAAAGCATAATCTTACTTGATAAGCATGTTTCCAGTTCATTATCTATCTTGAAAGTATCATCATGATTGCAAGAAGTGCATAGTAGCTTAATAGAAGAGTTGTATCACAGTTTCCAGTACTTGTTATATGCAATAGCATTATTTATGAGTTGATATCTGTTGATATGAGTATAAGTTGCTGAGCATATAGAAATATATAAAGTAACCCTATGTGAGATCTATTGATTGATTGTCGTGATTGCTTATGTTCATACTTGAGATGTGAATGAATGCAAAACGTTTTCCAACCTATATCTATAGTATGTTACAGGGTTGAGTGGTTTTATACTTAACATTATTTGCTAACGGGTTTATTTCCCTATGTGTTTTATAACGCCTTTCAGGTGGATCTATTGCATGATGAGAGCGCGCATTCACTATAGTATAGTGTAGCTCTAGTATCCCGTGGGGGCTAGAATTAGTATTTCCCTCCCGTTTTAGACATTTTGTTTACTATGGTTGTAGCTAGACTATAGTTTTCTGTTGGTGCGTAGACACCGAGGATTGCTTCCCCTTTTGTTGTTGTGTTGAGCAGAGACTCCAGTTTGTAGTAGTTTGTTTAGCCTGTGCAGTTACTCAGGAGTGGGTAACTGTGGCGGTGACATTCTCCTTAGTTTTTGATTTGAAGTGTGGCGGTGATATTTAAAATTCCCTTGTTTAATCCTATTTAGAATGTTTATTTACGGGCTCTAGAGTTTAGAAAAAGGGGGTGTTACACTTTTGCTTCTCATTTTAATTCTTATGACATCATTGTTATAAGTATCCTTGATTATACCCAACTTGTTTTCAAAGATGACTTTGAATCCCTTCTCAACTAGCTGCCCAACGCTAAGTAAATTTTGATCAATGTCAGGAACATACAAAAAATCAGAAATAATTTAGTACCTGTGCAACTCTCTATGACAACAGTCCATTTCTCTTGATAGGAATGCAGTCACCATTACCAATTCTAACGTTGGATACTTGGGACCTGTCCAACTCTCTAAAGAGTTCTTCATCACCGGTCATGTGGTTGGTACTACCACTGCCTAGGAGCCAACAATAACTTGAGCTTGAGCTTCTGCTTGTAAAACAAGATGCTACAAACATTTGCTCTTCATCTTCCTCGCTTACTATTTGGACATCATCCTTCTGTTGGAGGTTACTTTTGCATATTCTTTCATGGTGCCCAAGTTTATTGCACTTCCCACACTTCACATCAGGTCTTCTCCAACATTTGAAAGGAGGATGACCTTTTTTGCCGCAATGTTTGCAAGGAGGAAAATCTCTCTTTTTTTCTCCTTTGCTGCTGGTGGCTGCCTCACGTGGGTTTTTCTTAGAACTCTTCTTCTTGTCTTTCTCTCCATGATTGATTTGTAACTTAGCCTGCAGTGCACCTTCCACAGAACTTTCACTTCTCATCAGTCTCCTTTGTTCTTGAGCCTGTAAAGCACTGTTTAGTTTTGCCAAGGTGATTGTTGACAAATCTTTGCTACTCTCCATGGAAGATATAGTAGCATCAAATCTTTCAAGAACAGTTACAAGTATTTTCTGAACAATCTTAGAACCAGAAAATTCTGAACCAAGCAACCTAATTTTGTTCGCAATGCTAAGAAGCTTATGTGTACTCCTTGATTGTCTCTGACTCCTTCATTTGCTGCATCTCGAACTCACGAATCAGATTCAACTTTTGCATTCCTTTAAGCTTTTCATCTCCTACATATTAAGTTCTGAGGAAATTCCAAATATCAAATGCGTCTTCTGATTCATGATTCTTGTAAAGACCTCTTCGGAGACAGCTGCGAACAAGGTAATTTTTGCCTTGGACTTCCTTGATTTCCTTAAATTATGACTCTTCAGCTGAGCCATGGTTGGATACTTGGATTATCTGTTAAGGGAGGAACTTCATAGTCCTCTTTAACAGCATCCCAGAGATCATTTACCTTTAGGTGGGCTTCCATTCTAGCTGCCCATACTTGATAATTTTCACCCTTAAACACTGGTGGCGTTAGTGCTGTAAAAGGTGTTTTATAATCCATTTTATGGATTGAATAAAGGAAGGTAAGGTTTTTATAGTGGGTTTCCCTTGGTTCACTCACAGATCCCTTAAGAAAAGAAGGTATGATACCAAGTGTTGGTTATTCCATAGAAAAGATACATATTATTAACTGATGAAACACTGCTTAAATACACAGATGAATCTGACAAACAAAAAATAGCCACTAACCCACTAACTAGCTAATATCAAGCCACTAAGGCACTAATAAGTAACTGACAATTAAACTCCTAAAGACTTGGTAAATGGAAACAAACTAAACATTGGAATAAACTGAAAAATAACTTAAGCTACTGATGCAACATTCAAACTAAGTAGTTGAGAGTTAGATGCATATAGTAGAGAGAACAAATCACTTAACACAATGTAGCAATACTACAAGTCTACAACACAGTACCATCTCCAAAGATTATAAAAGCTAACATGTCTGGACAACAACAAAAAGCTCATCCATAAGCATGGATGATGCAACATCAAACACTAGAATTCATTAACATACAACAACACAACTGCTGTTTTCCAAGGAAACCAGATTGAGATGATTGCATGCTTAGGCCTCCTCCTCGTCCTGGTACTCTTCATCTTCGTATTCTTCGTCTGCAGTAGCATCCTGGTACTGCTGGTACTCTGCCACCAAGTCATTCATATTGCTTTCGGCTTCTGTGAACTCCATTTCATCCATTCCCTCTCCTGTGTACCAGTGCAAGAAAGCCTTCCTGCGGAACATGGCAGTGAACTGCTCGCTAACCCTCCTGAACATCTCCTGGATGGATGTGGAGTTACCAATGAATGTTGAGGCCATCTTCAGACCGATTGGTGGGATGTCACATACAGTGGATTTCACATTGTTCGGGATCCACTCAACAAAGTATGATGAGTTCTTGTTCTGAACGTTGATCATCTGCTCATCAACCTCCTTGGTGCTCATCTTGCCACGGAAGACTGCGGATGCAGTGAGATACCTGCCGTGACGAGGATCAGCAGCACACATCATGTTTTTCGCATCCCACATTTGTTGGGTGAGCTCTGGGACAGTGAGGGCCCGGTACTGCTGTGAACCACGAGATGTAAGGGGAGCAAAGCCAACCATAAAGAAGTGGAGCCGAGGGAAAGGAATGAGATTCACTGCCAGCTTGCGCAGATCTGAGTTGAGCTGACCAGGGAAGCGAAGGCAGCAAGTGACACCACTCATGGTGGCCGAGATCAAGTGATTCAAATCTCCAACTGAAAATAGAGAAGTAAATTCATATATAATCAGATTTTATGGCCAAATTAAGATAGAAAACTTAGATGTGCAAAAGCCTTACAATCCCAATAAGGATTAATTCAAAATAGTTACTAAACAATCATATACCCAGATCTGACAGGGGCAGCACTAACATGATTCCAATTGCTTAATTTATTCCATTATTGTGATAAATAAAACTAGGAAGCTTGGGCAGATAAATTTTTCCAAGCCCTATGCAGCTTTTATCTAATTTCAATTGTTTAACAATTATATCCGGACAGCAGTAGACAATGAGGCACACAGATCAGTACAACAAAATGTAAACTTATATGTAAATTACTAATCTAGTTATAAGAGCGTTAGAAACCAGGTTTATATTAATCCAAACGGTATAAAACAGAGGAATAAAACACAGTTAAATGTGCCATCTTTAGCAAGAATATATAAAAGCAAGTGAAACCCATGTGAGACTGCAAATGTATATGTGCAAGGAATATGAAGAGAATCTTATCTTCAAGCATCACACTGTGTCAAGATCTGAGACAGCTGAGCTCATCACATTACCAACCAAATAGCTTATACTAGAATAGCATACTATCATAGCCATCTGTAAAGTTATTGGGGCTATTGACCTGGAATCATATCAATCAAGCTACACTACTCCAGATTCTTTTATTTTTCAACCCATTCACTATCAAACCTAAATATCAGATAAAGATGTTCATGGATAGATGATAATTTGTAGTGATCAAGTAAATTTACTCAAAAGTAAAAACCCCAGGACTTACAGCTGGGAGTGGTGAGCTTGAGAGTGCGGAAGCAAATATCATACAAAGCCTCATTATCCAACACCATACACTCATCCGCATTTTCAACCAGCTGATGCACTGAGAGCGTCGCGTTGTAAGGCTCCACCACCGTGTCGGACACCTTGGGCGATGGAAACACCGAGAAAGTCAGCATCATCCGGTCAGGGTATTCCTCCCTTATCTTTGATATCAACAGTGTCCCCATACCCGACCCGGTTCCTCCTCCCAGAGAATGACATACTTGAAACCCTAATAACAGAAACCACAAAATTCAACCATCAATTTCACACCAATCAATTCCATACCAAGCAGATCTACAAATTCATAAGCAGAAATACCCCATACTACATAATAATCACGAATATTAAACAAATGACAGATAATTTAGAAATATATACAGTATAAGCTAGTATATATGAACACAACCACGAATCATAGATATATTAGTGATAAATTCAGAAATATATATACACAAAATAAGCTAGTATATATGAACACAATCACATATACCAGCATATACACACAGAAATAAGTAAGTGTAGAGAGAGAAAGAGAGGAACCTTGGAGACAATCGCAGTTCTCGGCCTCTTTGCGGACGACATCGAGAACAGAGTCGATGAGCTCAGCGCCCTCAGTGTAGTGTCCCTTGGCCCAGTTGTTGCCGGCGCCGGACTGGCCGAAGACGAAGTTGTCAGGGCGGAAGATCTGGCCGTAGGGGCCGGAGCGGACGGAGTCCATGGTGCCAGGCTCGAGATCCATGAGGACGGCGCGGGGGACGAAGCGGCCGCAGCTAGCCTCGTTGTAGTAGACGTTGACGCGCTCGAGCTGGAGATCGGAGTCGCCATGGTAGCGGCCGGTGGAGTCGATCCCGTGCTCGGCGCAGACCACCTCCCAGAACTTGGCTCCGATCTGGTTGCCGCATTGGCCGCCTTGGATGTGAAGAATCTCGCGCATTTTGGTCGGAGACGGAGGAGAGAGATTGGGGGAAAAGTAGAGAGTAGAGAGGAGGGAAAGCGAAGTGAGAGAGAGATATTTGAAATGGTTGATGAGAATGAGATGAGGTGTACCATGAAATTAAACAAGGCATCTTGGGACATGTGACATCAGACAATTCCAGATAGTCAACGGTCAATGTCACTCAACTAATTACGGACTAATTTTCATTTCCCGTTGTTTCATGTGTCTGTAATCCCGTATTTCATTTTCATGAGAGTTAAAGTTTGAACTTGGATAGTCGGGGTTTAAGATTTTTTTTTTTTTGTCAGTGTCTTGAACAGGTTTTAACGGTAGGAAATATTTTTAAGTCTCACTCTAATTTCTTTTAAAATATGAAAGTGTATAGTCACTCACGCCAACTAAATTGGTTAGGGATTTAGATTCTTTAAATTGAGAAAGTTTGATAAAGTATGAAACATATATTACTTTATTTTGCATTTATAATAATCAAATTACCACTAATTTAAAAATACAAATTAGACATGAGATTGTTCACATGTAGTAACTAGTATTTTAACAAAAATTAGGAGAGACCATAATAATTGCGAAAAGTCAAATACACATACACCCGCAACTTAATTTATAAACATAAAAGGATGACATATAATGTTCCAAGTTAGCAATTAAGGTGATTGATTAAAAAGTTGAATTATTAATGTATAACTTTTTGAAATTCAATAACTCCTCTTCACGGGCCAGAAGTGAATTCGTGGGTTTGGGACTTTGGGAGATAATATCACAAAATCAATAAATTATTTGAATTATCAAAACAAACAAATAACTTATTTATTATTTTTATATTAAATTGAACAACCTATTTAATGTTTATCATGTCCATAATTTATGGATGTGTGTTTGGGCATTGCATGGTAGGTGGTTCGCTTGTCTCGACTATCTTTAGCATCCAATTATCATATTGTGAACTTTAGTTCGTGAAGTATAAATATAAGATTTATCGGATAACAGAGTCGTAGATACTTTGATTAAAAAGCTAGTCACAGAACGATCAAATGAATAGAATGGGAGCATCCTCTAAGTGACATCATGATGGTAATCCTAAATGATAAAGTTGGGATGCCATGTAACCGAGAGATTATCATAGGGTGTCATATGTAAGACACCAAGCTTGGCCTTCCGTTATATATATATATATATATATATATATATATATATATATATATATATATATATATATATATATATATATATATATATATATATATATATATGAAAGATTTGTTTAGTATGTTGAAGGCTATTTTTAGTATTTTTATTATATTTTGATATAAGTTCATTTTAAGTAAATTGAGAGTTCAGTTTTAATGTCTAAAAAATAAATATGTAGTACACAAATGAACAAACAACATATTAAAAGATAACATATACTCTGTAATATATTAGAAATAAATATTAATAATGATCTACGCTATAATTTGAACTACGATATAATTTACCTTTTCTCATCGATTTGGCCCATGCAACCTACATGTTAATAAATACTAATTTCAAATTTAATTATCACTTATTATATTTTGTTTTTGTTTTGTCTTGCTTTTAGAAAAATAATGTTATATAGATTTAGCTTCTAAATGTTTTAAATATTATGAGATGAGGTGAATATATTGTATACCTAATAAAGTTATATATATTTTTACAAATAAAATAAGATAGTGAAAATTTACATGAATTAGATCATACAACACCTATAATATTAACATACAAAAAAAAAAATGGATTTCATTAAATAGCTTTTCAAGAATTTAAAGTCCACACTAACATGATCTAATTAACACAGTTATTCATGAATTTAAAGTCCACGCTAACATGATCTAATTAACACAATCTTCCTGTATGGATGTAGTTAAAACTTAAAAGTACAACATCAGTCCCTCACACTAATGTTTATATCATTTAATGTAATTTCATTTAATTGATTTGTAATGTAAGTTTTGAGAGCCACTAATCGCTCTCATCTTAGAAAGAAAGTAGAGAATGTAAATTGTATGATGCATCTCTATTTAGCGTAGAAGCTCTTAAATATTTATTTACTAGTGTCACTAATAAAATATTTGTTGTTTTTTACTTTTACAAATAAAATTAATGTCATGTTAGTAACATAGACAATTTATCAGTCAATTTTGACTTATTTGACAACTATTAACTAGTTGACTTAGTTAAACAACTAATATAAGTGATTGATTAATTAACTTCATGTAACAGCTTATTGTCCAAAACGCTAAAATTCAAAAAGCTAATCAAAACAGTTTTTTCAATTAGCTTTTTGAAAAATTCATTTTACATATAATTAGCTATCAACTAGCCACTAATTTACTAAGGGGGTATATTCAATCTAGACTTTTAAAGAGTTTTAAAGACTTTTAACGACTTTCAAAGTTTGTTGGTATTCAATTTAGACTTTTAAAGACTCTTTAAAAATCTACCGGTATTCGATTCACTTTTCAAAAGTCTTTAAAAGTATACTGGTATTCGTTTCAGATTTGTATAGAGTCTCTAAAAGTCTACTGGTATTCAAATATTTATCAACTTTCATAGACTCTATCAGGATAGGATTTCTGTAGACTTTTTCTTCATTAATATAAATAGATGAAATCAGACCTTCAAACCCAAACTTTTCAATTTTCTCTACAGACTTTTTCCTCTATTTAAACCAGACAAGTTTTTCATCAATTTCTATCAAATTTAACAATACGTTTCAAACTTTTTATAATATTATATTTTGTAATTTATTTTTATTTTTTTATATTTATGCAATTTTGTTTTGCTGCGAACAGCAGCAAGAATTCTTGTTGCTGTTCGCAGCAAATTTGCTTGATATGCTGCGAACAGCAAGCAGCAAAGATCTGCTGCGAAATTCGCAGAAATCTTCTATAATTTTTTATTTTTTTTTGCAATTAGTAAAGTTAATGTACTCAAATTTTGTTAAATTCTTTTTATATAATTAACATAATTTTATGTTATTATATGTTCATTAATTATTAATATATGTATTTGCATTAAGTTGAATTTTTTGATGATAATAATTTTGAACAACTGTTTGAAACTCAAAAGCAACAACAAGAGCATGCCAATGAATGAATGACTAAAATAGCTTTTGATATGTGGAGAGACAACCAACAAGGTAAAATTAGTTCCAATAAAAAATAATTGTACTAACAAAATGAATATTTTAATTTGTACTTTTTCATTTTAGACATTTTAATAATTATATTACTCAACATTAGTTGTTTCATTAGTTCAAGAAATATTTTGTATTGATTATATTTTCTTTATGTATAATATATTCTATTTTAATTTGGTGACAATGAATATTTATTTTTCATTACATTAATTTATTTATGATTTATAAAAATATATTTTTGTAAGAAAATTATAAATAATATATTAATAAAAGTTATGGAATGTTTTGTAAGAGTGTATTGAATTTAGAGTTTTAATGACTTTTATAGATTTTTTCATATGAAAATTTTTTCAAAAGTCTATAAATGTTTGTCTTATGAATTTTTAAAGACTCTTACAAAGTTGATAAAAGTTTAAAAGATTCTAGGAAAGTTTACAAAATCTCTACAAAAGTCATTTAAAATCCATCACTTTTAAAGTCTTTGAAACTCTTTAAAAGTCTTGATTGAATACACTCCCCTAAATATCATTTTACAATCAGTTAACAGCTATTTATCAAATATTTTTAAAATATTTTAATTTATTTTGAATTGGTTAATCAGTTGAATTAGAAATTTGTAATATTAGTATATGGTGGTGTATGAAATTAATATTTAGTTTAAAATTTGTCCAATAGCGTATTTTACAGCCTAAACCCCTCTACATGAATACATTATCTCTTTCTCTTTGGGGTTGTAAGTTGTAACTAGGGTTTTAGCCCTAAAGTACTCCGCAAAGTTCAACAGCTTCGCCACTCTCACAATCTCCCAACCATGGAGGTCCAGCCCACATCTCAGCCTCCACCGCAATGTTGGAGCAACATCGTGAAGCAGCAACTGCCGCCACCGCCGCAACAGAACCACCAATCCCCTTTCGCCGCCGCGGCACCTCCGCCTCCCAATCGGGAGTTGGTGGGGAGTTGCAATTCGACTAAGGGAATAGCGGTGGCGGTAGTGGATGCCAACGCTATCATCCAGGGTGGTCAGAATCTGTCGCATAACGCCGACCGCTTCGTGTCTGTCCCGGAGGTCTTGAGCGAAATCCGGGATCCTACCTCTCGCCACTCCCTCCATTTCCTTCCTTTCACTGTGGACACCATGGAACCCTCGCCTGATGCTCTCAAAAGAGGTCCGTGTATTTGTTATTCGTACTTGTAATTGTATATTATATGTGTATGTATGCATAAATAAGACGTCTATTTGCGTGATGCTCCCAAAAAGTTTTTGTTTTTAAATCTCTTCATTATTCTTGGGCTTGGGAATCTTTTATATTGCTTTGTGTACATTTGAGAATTTTGAGATCTTGGGGTTCCATTGATAAAATTGTTCTGTGTATAAATTGTTTGTTAAATAATTATAGAAATTTGTGAATGGGTAAAGTAATTGTATGTGCACTGCTTGGGGATTATAATGATCAAATTATTGGCTTGAGAATTGGACAGTAAAATGATTTGTATAACTATTATTGTGTTTGCATAGAGAATACATGTTGAAATGGGTAGTAAATTGTATGAGTTATGGGCACTGCCTGGGGGATTATAATGATCAATTTCTCAGCTTGAGAATTGGATGGTAGGAGGTGTTGTAAAACTATTATTGTTGTTTCATAGAGTATAAATGTTGAAATTGTGTGGAATGTAATGAGTAAAAGTTCTAGTGTGACTCACAAAGTATCTTGAAATTGTGGATTTTCAGTTATTAACTTTGCAAGGGCAACTGGAGATTTGCAGACACTGTCAGATGTAGATCTGAAGCTCATTGCTTTGACTTACATGTTGGAGTCTCAAATTCATGGAACCGAGCACCTTAGGGATTGCCCACCACCAATCCACACAGTCAATGTGAGAAGGCTGCCTGAAAAGGACATGCCTGGGTGGGGCTCCAATGTTCCCAATCTGGAAGAATGGGAAGCTCTTGAACATGCTGTTGAGGGTGGATCAAATACTACCTCCAGAATTCTTCCCCTTAAAGATTTGAGCATGAATGTTGTTCCAACAGATCAACAGAGTATAGATGGTTCAACTGTAAATGATAGTAAGTCTCAATCTGAGGACCAAGAGGATGCTGATTGTGGTTTCAGGGGGCCTAGAAAATACATGTCTCAAAAAAAGGAGGTAAAGATTGAAGGTAAGAAGATGGTGGCAGATGGGGTTGATGCTTCACAGGGACAATATGATGATGATGCTGGTGATTGGCTGCCTGCTGTGAGTCGAAGCACTCATAGAAAATATCTCAGAAGAAAGGGTAGACGAGAACTGCATGGGACACCATCTGAAAGCAAGCATGTTGGTGGCACCGAAGACCTAGATATCCTACAGGATAAAGCCTCCACTGATATTACAGATGGGAATTCAGCAGAGAGTGGTATTATTAAAGAGAATGGCAATGAAGATATTTCTAAAATTTTAAGTGAAATGAGACTGGAGGAAGAATCTTCAGTAGCTTTACAGGCTAGTGAGAACTGTGCTTCTGAAACGTTAGAGTCTAATGATTTCAAGAGTTCAGATACTGCTGATAACATTAATGGGGATGTAGAAAATGTAGAGGATGATGTCGATAACCTTAATGAAATGGCAAGTCAGACCTGTGAAAGCATTGAAACATCACAAATGGATGATAGTAGCAGTGAACAGAGTTGGATGCTGAGATCCTTGTCTGAGTCAACAGTTGCTTGTATAACTAGTGATTTTGCAATGCAAAATGTGATTCTTCAGATGGGATTGAGGCTTCTGGCACCTGGTGGGATGCAGATTCGTGAGTTACACAGGTATACATGGTGCTGCCATTTTTATTTATGTACTTTTAACCTATCTCAGAGTAGTCAAGTGACAAGTTTTGATTTCTTAGGATATACGGTATACGCATTTCAATTATTTCATGCAGCCTCATTAGTGTTCTGAATCGAATGTTCAGATTTTTGAATCAACAGAGTGCTTCATTGGCATATATATCATTCAGATGAATATGAGCTTACTTGTGAAAGAAATTTCCATTTGTATTTTCAGGTGGGTACTAAAGTGCCATGCCTGCTACAAGGTGACCACAGAAATTGGTAGGATATTCTGCCCAAGTTGTGGGAATGGTGGCACTTTACGGAAAGTGGCTGTTACAGTGGGAGAAAATGGTATTGTTATCGCAGCAAGAAGACCACGTGTGTCCTTGCGTGGAACAAAAGTGAGAATCTTAAGTTTTTCTTCCATAAGTTTTTATAGAAATTTATGGTTCATAATGACTATTATTTTTTCTCTTTCTTCATCCATAGTCAAAATTATCTACTGACCAAGTTTGAAACCAAAAGATGCTTGGCTTGGATGCATCTTTTCTTCCATAAGATGCTAGTCAATTTTTGCTGGGAAATAATTTTGAATTTGGATGTGTAGTATGAAATTCTATTAATTCTCAAACATATTTTGCAAAAATACTTTGGGCCTAAATCTTGTTCATGCTTGTTATACTATGATTTGTGTAAAAATAAAATTTAAAAGGAGGCAAGTGTGTTGCAGAGAACCTTGATTGTGCTTGGCTTATGAATTGAATGTTGTGGATTTGGTGCAGTTTTCACTACCTTTGCCCCAAGGAGGCAGGAATGCCATTACCAAGAACCCCATTTTACGTGAGGATCAGCTTCCACAGAAGTTCTTGTACCCTAAAACAAAGAAGAAGAATAAAGAGGTTGGTTTTTAAGAGTTTTTTCGCAATTCACATATTACCAAGAATATCCTGTTTCTGAATCTTCCCATCTGTTAAATTCTGTTTATGATTTTTTTTTTTCTTAACACCATAAAATCTTTTGCAGGGAGATGACATCTTTACTCCAGACAACTTATTTGTCCACCATACTGATAAAAAAGCTCCCCTGCAGCCTCCCATGAGGAAAGCACTGGCTGTTTTCAGTGGAAGGAGAAATCCCAATGACAATCATTATTCTCGTACTATGCATTAAACCGTATTTCTTGATTAAACACAAGTTCTTGGAGATTTTGTAACACTCCAAAACAGATTTCAAGATGAACTGCTCTTTATATTTGCTTGTGTTATGTTTTAAGATTTGTTTCCAGTGTATGCTACTATTCACTTGATGAAAGTGTGCAATTTTGGAAACAGTATTTGTTTTTGGATGTATGGTGTTGATTATAGCAAAAAGGCCTTTTCCAATGAAGAAAGAAATGTCTTGAGATCTGTAATCAATACCACATTTGCATTTCAAATAACCTGTGCAACATTCTTAATTTTGTCAAAAAACCTTAATTATCATTTAAGAGTTTCAATTGCTTCACTATTTGACATTCTGATACTGGCTGATGTTCTGGTAATTTACAAAAAAACAAAAAATCCAGATCACACCAGTGCATTAACTCCTCTATGGCAAATAAAATTTGCACAAACTCACACACAACTGAAAACAATGGAAAGAAATGAAAAAAAGAGAAGATATTACATTTGTATACTACTAATTTTGAACTGTTAGTTGTCTGCTATCATGAAAGGGCAAGCTCAGCCCATGCTAAAGAAGAAGCTCTGAATTCCACAGATACAGACGTGTCGATATTCCTCAACAGCATGTTGCACAGATCGCTCATCGACGTTTTGCTGCTGCAGCTTGGATGTATGCACAAGTTTACCACATCACAGATTACTTTTAGGTCTTCATATCTGAAATGCTTCAACTCAGGATCCACGACGTATGACATCACCTCCGGCACTTCAAGGAATTCCTTAGCCTGTCACACAACAGTGTAAGTAGCGTTAATCTCGCCATGTTTCTTGAATGCTGGTTCAGTTGAAGAACGTGTTCTGTTTCAACTAAAAGTTTATTATATATTCATACTTATCGAGTTCTTCATGGTTACTGCATATATATGTGAGATTCTTACCCAATCTACTATGGACCCGTTGTCTTTGCAGTATGGCGGTCTGCCACTGACTATTTCCAGTAGCAGCACTCCAAAGGCGTAGATGTTACCCTGGACATCAAGATGGCGTCTCTCTAGTGAACTCGATAGGACACACACTGCACCTTCACTGCTGATAGAACCCGAGCTCTTCTCTGATCTCGAGAGTATTGTCTTCCAGCTATCGAAATCAACCAACTGCATAAAACGTAAATATAATCATACCACCGATTATGGCTGCTTAACGATGAAGAGAAATAGGTGTCAACATTTGGCCCGACAGAGGGGCTTCGGTTTACCTTTGGAGAAAAATCTTCTGTGAGATACACAGATTTTGAATTCAGTTCACATATGGTGAACGGTGGATTGAGTTCAGTATGGAGATATTTTAGCCCCTTAGCGATGCCGATAATAATGTTCATTCGTCTCGTCCAGGATAACTGGCAGCCTTCTCCATCTGCACTCATCAATTACAAGGCTTTGATCGACAGCCCGAAGTTCAGGTTGAAGAAAAGCAACTCTAGATTAACTCAAGTCGACTAATAATGTACTTACAATGCAAGTGTTCGTATAGTGTCCCATTCGATGCATACTCGAACACCAACATCCTCGTAAATGGACTGCTTTCGGTACAGTAACCCAGCAGTTTTGCTGTATTTTCGTGATTTATTCTAGCACATTCTGCTACCTGAGGTTGTAAAACTAAAAATTACCAATCAAGAAACGGAGCATTTTTAACACTATCTAACACGGGCTATTAGAATACAGCAATTACCTCTTTCTGAAAATAAAGCTCGAGATGGGCCGACCAATGCTCTTCATTGACACACAGGGAAATAACAGCAATTTCAGGTCCACCTTTCATGGTACCTTTGTAGACCAAGCTGTCGGGCGAAGATCCAATAATGTTACTGAAATCTTCACATGCTACCTCCAGTTCCTGTCTGCTATATCTCGCTACATCCTTCAGCATCTCAGTATCTGACACAGATTTCGTTAAATTAATTTCCACCACAGATCCAAGTAAAGCACAGACAGTGCGAAATAGAAGTTATGGCAATTCATACATACTAACCTACATAAATTGTAAGGTGGTCTTTCTGGCTATCCGATTTCTTCCAAGGGATAATAATCGACGGTTTCTTCTTGCACTTCTGAAAGGCTGTCAGAAGAGCTGCTAGAAATAGCGTTCCTGCCAAGATTCCGGTCACCACTTCCAGCACTAAAAGCCACGTAGGCTTTGAACCAGACCGATGCTTAGCCAAATCTTCAACGGGGTTTTGTGTAGTGTTGTTGACTCCAGGACTGTTTTTCACCTGAGGAGCACTGGCTGGAATAAAGAGTCGAGTGCAAAGCTATTACGTTTCATATCATAAATTTCACGGAGTTGAAGGCGTAAACTATAAAGTAAAATTGGCATTAAGGCGAAAACATTAAAGTTGTGTGCACATACCACATCGGGCAGCAGGGCGCTGTTTAATTTCTTTTACTTGAAGGCAGTTCCCTTGAAAGCTCGAGCTTTACACGAGAATTAAGCGAATTTAGAAATAGAAAAGAGTAAAAACAGCCAAGTTTCCAAAAAACGAACGAAATGTGTACCTTGGAAGATAACTCAAGCACTTAGGAATAATTCCACTAAAGAAGTTAAAGGAGAAATCAGCAACTTTAAGTTGAGATGATCGACAAAGGCCAATTGTGTTGCCACCGGGGGTATGCCTAATACAGAAACAAAGAACAATACCATGAAACCAAACATCCTAAGAACAATACCATGAAACCAAACATCCTTTGTACTTTTATTGTTAAAAGTGTAATATTTTCACCCTGGTGGATTAAACTGGGATAACAATACACACAGATGACTACTTACATCCCACGTAAACTGGCTGTGAAATCTGAGTCATTACTGGCTGGCACTATCCCCTCGAGCTTATTCCTGTCCACCCGAAGCTCCTCAAGGTATTTCAAACCGCCAAGCTCGGGGGGTAAACTCCCAGTTAACCCATTGGATTGAAGGATTCTGCAAAGACATACATAAAATGAGTCCAGCATTAATGCTGCCAAGTCATGATTTACAGTTAAAAACTCGAGTTACACTGACATTTTCGTAACACGGGATAAATTGCCGATTTCAGGAGGAATCGATCCTATCAACTGGTTAGCCCCGAGGTCCAAGACTTTAAGGCCTTTCAACAACCCGATTTCCTTTGGTATTTCGCCTACGAGTAGGTTTCCATGCAGAATACTGTAAATCACCAATAAAGAACTAATCATCCATTTTATCCACATAAAAAAATGGTGGTAAATTTTACTGGAAAAACAGACTCACAGTTCTTCCAAATAAGAGATTAGGTACAAGTCTGGTGCAAGAACACCCTTCAAAGATGCCCCAGAAATATTACTGCAAAATGTGAATACATTACTTCCCAGAAAACATACCAAAAGCAGAGATAATGCCTTGAAATCAAACAAGACTTCTTACATTTTTATGACATGATCTCCAGGCTTAGAACAAGAAATGCCTTTCCAATGACAAGGATCTGAATCTGAGGCATTCCAATTCGATAAAACCCGAAATGGGTCCCCATTTATAGATTCCTTAAACTTAGTAAGAGCTTTCACTGCCCAAAAAACAGACACAACAAATTCACAGACTCAGATAGGCACATTGCATTTCTTCCTATGCCAATTCAGCATTAAAAACATCATTAAATAAACCCTTGCATTTATTAAATTCCCCCAAAACAATCAAAACCCTGGGCTTCAAGGAGAAGCTAGATCTATGACAGTGCATTATATTGATGAACCATACCTTCATCTGAGGGAACCACAAAAAAGAATCCACAAGTAACTAAAACCAGTCTCAATACATCACAAGCTCTCATCTTTCCACACTCAAATGAACTTCAGTGGCTTTACAAAAATCAAGAATCTGAACAGTCCATCACACAATAGATGCCCCCAAAAGAACAAGGAAAACAAGAAGAATAGAAACAAAGATGGAGGAATTGGATTAATGGCAGAGCTTATGAAGCAAAGAAGATAAGAATAAATAAAACAAGACAGAAAAAGATGGTCTTTTTATTATTTTATTTCAAAGAAAAAACTACAGACAGAGAGTGAAGTGGAAAGAAAAACCACCCGGCAACCAGTGAGGAGACTTGGGTTCAAAGAGAAGTTTAATGTCAGAAACACAGAAAGAGATATTGATTCATCAGAACAATAGACTTTCAAACAGAAAGAATTGAAAGAAACTGGAAGAAGAGTACACTGTGTTACAGTATCCGTGCAAAAGAATTCAAAAGCCAGTTGTAATATGAAGAATAAAAAAGCAGCAAAGAAAATTGAATCATTAAAAAAAAAAAAACTAAAAAGTACTGTGTAAAAAAAGATAGAGACTGGAGAGAGGAAAACACAACAAAGGTTGGTGTCAAATGTTTTTCGGTTTGTCTTTCTTTGAATAATAAACTCGACGGTTTTTAGCAAGGAGTATTAATTTTTTTTATTCTTTATTTTTAGCATTTTTTTGTATAAATATTTTTGGATTGAACTTCGATCAGATGTTATTTGGAGTATGCTGTCTTATTATTATTAATTATTATTATTATTATTACACAATTTTTAAATTGGAAATTTATCTTTCTTATTTCCTTTATAAAAAACCTCAAGTTTCTGACTTCGCCAAACTATATCTTGGACCCATGAACCCGTCTCAAGACCTATGAAGTGGTAAATCACGAGTTTCCTTTTTCATTCAACATGAAAATTTATAAAATTATATTCAAATAAAAGATTATAGAGACCCTTGCAAATCATACAATTATCACTCCTTATTGTCCGTTCTTATCGTGTAATCTTTTTATTGAATACATAAACTCTTTATTAACTCGGTGTTGGAAGGAGTTCGCCAATTCACTAGTAATTCATGAAAATAAATACTTTTTTTATTAATTAATTCAGGAGTGGTAATTATTATAGGGGTGGGAAGCATTTTCTTAAAATAATATTTGTTGAAAGTTTTGTGAGTTTCTTATTTATTTTGCCACTTTCATATTTTTCATTTTAATTTAATTTCACATTCAAGTTTATTTCACATTACATCATTGACTTTAACTTTTACATCCGATTCAATCCTGTTTTTTGTTTTTAATAAAAAAAATATTTAGTCTTCTAATATGACTAAAATTTGAAGTGTAATTATAATTGGAAATTGACTTTTAAATAACTCTAATGATAACATGCAAATATATAGATAAATAAAATTTTAATGAAATATATGTTAATATTTGGAGTGGAGACATTGAGGTAAGGTAAGAATGGTATGATGGAGGAAGCTTTTGCTTTACTGCTAATCATATCATTAATAGAAGGCTTCTGCCACTAATCATAGTTTTAGCCATAGGAAATGGATAATGGGGGAAGGTGGCCCCCCTAGTGCTGATATTTTCTTTCCAGTCTTAACCTTTCCCCACACCCCCACTAGCTTTACTTTCTAATCCCAAAAAGTAACCCCAACTCTAAGAGCTTTCACACTCCAACCCGGCAAAGCATTTAAAATGATGTAAATAACAGTGACTTAATGATTTAATAGACATAACCAACTGTCGATGCACACAAAAGATCAGTCCATGTTAGACATAATCTTTATACTGTCGATGTCGAAGGGCATAGTTGAAATTTAAAAATTCAAATCAAAATCGATTGAAATCAAATACTTAATAATCTAAATAAGTTTATGAAGGTGAGATTTGTTTTTCACATTTTAAAAAATATTTACCATAAGAGTAATGCTATGTTTCTTTTCATGATTTTACATTCTAATTTTCACTTTCTTACATGGTAATATTCGATTAGTCCTTTTTATGTTTGATTAATAAGAAAATTCATTTATTAATATTAGACTAGATAAAGTTGGTTAATTCACGATAGCCAATGAAAATATGGATTTATTGCCACTCACAAAAATGAACATTATAATGTAAGATTAAAATGAGAAATTAGCATTATTCTCATCATAAAATGAACATTATAATGTAAGATTAAAATGAGAAATTAGCATTATTCTCATCATAAAATAATGTACAATTATATATATTCTTCCAAATACAATTATATATATTGATTGGACTGTTTGATAACATAATCAATCAATTTTGACTTGTTTGACCACTATTAGTTATTTGACTTGGTTAAACAATCAATATAAATATTTGACTAATTAAGTTTTGGTAACAATTTATTGTTCTAAAATGCTAAAATTTAAAAAGATGCTTAAAGCAGCTTTTTTGATACAATTTTTGAGAACGTCATTTTATATGTAATTGGCTATCATCTAACAACTAATTTACCAAACACTTTTTTTACAATAAGTTAATACTATCATTATATTAACTGGTCAAATTCACTAACCCAATAAGCTAACATCTATTTACCAAACACCCCCAATATCTATCTATGCATGAATTGGTTGACCGTATTAGGGGTTAATTATGGAATGATGCTAACTTTCCTTTTTACATAATATTCACTTTTCTAATTTTTCATAATATTAAATTTAATATGGCAAAGTACTTATGAAGTCCATGTACTATCGTGTTTTGTTCAATTTAGTCATTTACCTTTATTCTGTTCAATTTAGTCCCTCTACTTAAAAGTGGTGAAACTAAGGACAGTTGTCTAAATTTTATTAGGAACATGATTGTAATTATTTATTTTGGACATACTAATTTAATATATTAGTGGTAAAAATAATTAATTTTAAATATTTATAAAGTAATATATGAGTAGGGAATATAAATATCGTCAGCGTCACGTAACCTAATGTAACAGTAATATTAATACGGTTAACTATTATCCTTAATTGCACCATTTTTGAAAGTACATAGACTAAATTGAACAAAATAAAGATATAAGGACTAAATTGGACAAACGCTATAATATAGGGACCTCGTAGATACTTTATATATATATATATATATATATATATATATATATATATATATATATATATATATATATATATAGACACACACACACTACATTAAAAGTAATATTATTAAACACAAAAAAAATATATTTAAAAATAAAAATACAGGATATTAAAGAAATTACGTCTTTGTTAGTTGATGTTAATTTCCACTTTGTAAAGCGATCTGCGAATTGTGCTGCCCACATTGTTGCTCGGGAAGCCGTTTCTATGTCAGGTTGCGGAGACTGGATGGATGTTCCACCCCCTTTCCTTGTTCATTGTTTGTCTGATGATTTAATGAATTAAATTCTTGTTCTCAAAAAAATAAAAATACGGGAAAAAAATTAATGTAACATATAAATATTAAACATGACATGTAAAATGAGAAAGAATAAATAATATTTTTTCTTAATAATGTATTTGGTAAAATAAAATATAGTATCCTAATTTATTGAAGTACTCATAAAATCTCAGTTCATGAGGGGCAAAATGGGGAGGCAGCAAGCATGAGCGGCGATGGATATTCCATTCCGAATTTTGCGCCAGTAATCATGTGCCACCTTGTCGGCGCATGTTAGAAAACTCCCTAACTTCAATTCCTCAATTATCAATGTTTCATGGAACTTGCCACCAACTATTTCAAAACTTAAATAAATTGGGAGAAGAAAACTTAAATAAATATAACCATAATTTAAATAAAAAAAAAAGTTAATACCAGGTATCTTTTGAATATTGATATTTACTTAATTAAGTCATCTATTTAAAATTTTATTAAATTAAATTTTTTGAATAATCAAAATACCAATTGTGCACCCTCGACTATAGCATTTACTTAATTAGGTTATGTATTTACAATTTTACTAAATTAAATCTCTTGAATAGTCAAACGTTACTTAAATAGGTCATTCATTACCATTTTCGTTTGCGATCTGTCAAATTCAGGGTTAAACTTGTCTTTTCTTCTAACTGTAATTAAAGCCAAGAGTAACAACAACACAAGCTGCCATGAGAAGGTAGTTGATCCTAGGAATGTGCCCCTCACTCCTCTGTCGTACCGCCCTTCACTTTTCCACCTTATGTTGTCCCTCACTCCTCAACCGTACGCCCCCTCCCCTATACGCTTCCTCACTCCTCCACCATTGGTCGACCCCCAGGCGGTCAACTACAGTAATAGTAACATGTGTTGCTGTCACTCTTGCTTCAATTATGGCTGAAAGAAAAGGAAAATTTACTCCTGGATTTGATGGTTCACAAACATAAATGGTAAACAGATGACCTATAAGTAATATTTGATTACTCAAGTGATTTAATTTAGTACAATTTTAAATAGAGGACCTAATTAAGTAAAAGCTAATAGTCGATGGACCCCATGTGATATTTTGATTACTCAAGAGATTTAATTTAGTAAAATTTTAAACAGATGACCTAATTAAGTAAATGTCAATAGTCGGATCCCAACTAGTATTAACTCAAAAATTAATTACAAAAAATAGAGTTACTATTTTTTTAAATATCCATGTAGTTAGGATTTAATTTGTGACTCATTATTTTATTATTTTTAGATCACGATGTAAATTTGTGAACACTATTCGATGGTATTAGGGTATATTGAGATAAATCTCTCTCTCGTGTAATAGTTTGCAAACAAAAAAAATAAAAATATAAGAATCAAACTCATGACCTTTTGGTACAATAAGTATACTCTACCCACTCAACCACTCCAATCCTTAGGACTTTGATTTCTTATCGTGAGTAATGGTTTGGAATTGTTAAATTATAAAGTCTTTGATAAGATAGAATGTGTGTAAACTTATAACATTGTATGAATGCTCGATTTATTGATTTATTGATTAATTTTTGTTAAGGTTAATTTATTGATTGATATTGTTATATGAATCAAATGATTTTACCATTATAGATTCGATCAATTTAAGAGTAACTGAAGAATGGACTATCATATATCTAACATATAAACTAACGACATCTAATTTAAGTAAAAGAAAATTTGTTTTAACCTAATAGCTTGTAACAATTGATAATACAACTACAATAAAATTAGAAAATCAATTCCTTAGAGTCCAATTTTATGATTGTGTTGGGTTTTCCCCTCCCTTCCCTTCCAAAATTGTATGACACATTTTTTTTTTTTTTTTGAAAACAAACCAAGCCGAATATATTAAGAAATGAAGAAATGTGAAATATAAAAAGGTGGGACATACTCTCAAGACTCAAGGACAGACGAAGAACCAGATGCTCGTTCCATAACAATTAAAAAAAAGTTTATGACACAATTCAAATTAGTTATTCAGGTAACATACATTAAAGAAAAAAAAAAAGAAAAAGAAAAACAATA